CCGGGCTCCAGACGATTGCAACGTACTCGAAGTCTGATGATCATAGCAACGACAACATATCTTTTGCCTCTACCTTTATTTTTTGTCGTCGGTTCTTGTAACATCCTTATTTTCAGGAATTTCACAAAATGGTGTAAAGCATAGTGATAAAGGCGTGCATGCTATAATTTCTCGAGATCACGAGTTCAAACCTTGTTCTATTTGTTTTCTTCCTTATGTGTGTTCTTTTTTTCAACCTAAGATGCTGACATGACATTCTACGTCAGTTGTCATATCAACCACTCTTCCACCTTGGTACTCCACCTCACCAATTGACTATTTGAAAATGTCAGTGAATAAATTAGCTGGTGTTCTGGACTTTTCTATTCAATCTAATCGTTTATTTTCCTGAAATTTAGATTTCCTGTAGTCTAAATCCTTATTTGGCTTGGGGTTTTTGGATTTCAGTTTTTATGGCATCAATATTTAGGACATCAGAGACCAAGATGCGTTGTTTCCTTAATATATGAATATCCTCTTAGCTATCGGAAGATGTGATACCTTAGGAGCTAATTGATATCGATCACAAAAGTAGAGTAAAAACATGATATTGGTTTTGTTGTCATAATTAAAATGGTATTTTATACATGTTGAATTGTAATATATGTGTAACATAGTTTGTTAAATATATAAATATAAAAATGTTACTTATAAATAGATATAATAAAATATGAGACCTGGAGACTTAGAAAACTATTTTAATAAGCAAGTTTTTAATTTAATAACTGTTTTTTTATAAAACGGTAAATTTGTAACATCGAATTTTCAAATATTGATTTTGAAATATACATTTTTCAAAATAAAAACTAACCCAAAGGTATGTATAGAACACAACTCATATATAAATTATGAAATATTAACTTGGTGAATATGAGCCTCATTGATCAAGACTATTAGAATCATGTTCGTCGTCAAATGACCCTCCACAGTTTGGACCTGGTCCATCGGACTATCAATGTAAAGATCTGATATTTTACCGATTTGAAATGTTTTTATTACCTTATCTTCTTCCTTTAATAAACCAAAGTTTTTTTTTTTTTTTTTTTTGCCACATGTCATATTCTTATTATTTTTTGATTATTTTGAATTAATTTTTTTCCGCATGTTATTTTATGGGTTTTCTTATTTTATTAAATTACACATAATATTTTAATATAATAATTATAAATATAGTAATAAATATATATATCAATTTCATTAATAGACTTACCTTCTTCTAATTTCAAAATTCTCAAATTAAAACTTATTAATTTCTTTTTTTTATTTATTTAAATTTAAAATATAAAAAAAAACATTTCAATTTTAATAATTCATTATTTTTTTTTATGAATTTAAAGTTCTAAAATATTTAGACTTTTATGTATAACTTTTTTTTTTAAATTAACTCATGTAATACATGGGTCTCACAACTAGTTGTTTATTATATTATGCGTCGATAAAACAATAAGAGTTATATAACAAGTTTAAAAGAATGTGTTGTGGAGATATTACTGAAACGTAGTGTGGTCCTGGACTGGTACTGAACCGGACCGAACCGAACCGAACGGTTGGTACCGGGTTTTTTTTAAGACCACATTCGATTGCTATAAAATCTAGTGTAATTAAGTGGGTTATAGATATTCAAGTTGCGTGAGAGATTAGTGAATTGTAAAGTCATCAATTAAAAACCAAAGTAGTAAATGTGTATCAAGCAATCATTCAAAAAAAAAAATTCAACATGTAAAAACTTCCAAAGTATGTGACGTAAACATTTGGAATCGGGTTATGGTGCTACATGCCCAGTAGTATCCTTGTTTTTAATCGAGTTGAAGCTTAACATAATAAAATTTGTGTTAGCCGAATAACACTCTATATTACCTGATTAGGATCAATCTTTAGTGACAAACATGGATTTGTTGTTATTAACTAATTACTTAATGGCATATTCTTGTTTTGATACTACGTTTCAGAAAATGGCTGTGAAGCACGTAACAAAGCAAAAATTACAAGGCAAGATTTTGGTCCAAATCGAGGTGTCTATGCCACCGGATGACAGCATTAGGTATTATTATTGTAGTTATTTAATTTTTTTTTGTTAGAAGTTTCATGTTAATTAATAATAATACAGAATACATGTGTTTGTTTTGTTGTTGATTAGTGATGCAATCAAATCGGCAAAAGAAGCCAGACCAACTCTAAGGTGTTGTTTGTTTTTTTGAAGCAAAAATTCATTGTCTGCGAACCACCCCTACAATCCTGTGTAGTAGAAGATGTGGACCAAACAGCTGCAGACTGTAATAAGAAGCGTGTTTGTTTTTTTAACATCTGCATGCTACTGCAGATATTAAAAAATTAAAATAAACTGATTTTATAAATCGAAAATAGTTTTTTAATACCGAAAATTTAATAATATATGACATTTCAGCAATAATTTATTATATTTCAGCAAAAAATAATGATATTTCAACAAAAAAATAATGATATTTTAGCAAAAAATAATGATATTTCATCAAGAAATAATTATTATTTAATATAAAAAAACGAAAAAAAATCAACAAGAATAAACAAAAAAAAATGTAAAATAATATTTCAGCAACATATAATCAATATTTCAACAAGAAAAAATAAGAATAAGAAGTTGGAAGAGGCAATACAAGTGTCGCGCCAAACAGAACACGCACATATGTGTTTTACTCTGAAAACTTCTAAAAAACAAACAACTGCGAGATTAAAAATGTTGTGTGTGTGTTGCGCCGCACAACATTAAGAGGTTTGAAGAGGCTTTTTACAAAAAACAAACAACATCTAACTCTATGTATGTTTTTTAAGGGAAATTGTGTAATCTAACCCATAAATGAAGTCTTTAAAAAATAACATTTTTTTTTGTAAAATAACCACTTTTAGGACTGTTCACTATTCGGATAAAACCGAATTATCCAATTGGACAATTTGGATTGGATTATTTGGTTCGGATATTCGGATTTTTGGATTGGTTTTCAAGAAAAACCGAATTATTATTTTGGATTTCGGATTGGTTTTGGTTTATAAAATAAGAACCGAATAGTCCAAAAAAACCGAATAAACATTTATTATTTATCTATTTATAATATATATCTATAGTTATTTATTAATTGTGTAATTTATTTTTTCAAATAGGAACGTTTCACCCGATAAAAAACATTAATACGCATTTTCACTCAAAAGTTTTTTATCTATAAAATATTTAACTATAATATATCTTCTTATTAGTTGTTTATAAATTTCAAATCACAACTAAGTAATTTGTTTTTGCTTCTTGTGTAAAATTTAGTAATACTATAATTATTTGTCGTTTTAAAATGTTTCGGTTTTTGAAAACCGAATTATAAAAACCAATCCAACCGAATTGTAATTTGATCGGATCGAATCCGATTTAAATTTAGTTTGGACTATTCGGATCCATGTTTTGAAAACCGAAATCAATTTGGATTCACTTGATTGGATCGGATCAAACCGATTCATCCAAACGAACACCCTAACCACTTTGTCCGGTATAAGTCATTCTAGTGAGATCTCCGGGATATTGGAATAGGATTCCGGACAAGCGTTCTGGAAAAATGAAAGCTATTTAACAGTCTGAATCGTATACTGACAACAGATTACATTGATCTCATTTTCTAGTGTCTAGACAAAAGATAAGACAAAATAGTACTTCTTCTTCGGTTTGGCACTTTCTTGGTTGACAAAGGACTTTGGGTAGATAGATTGCTCGGACAAAAACTTGTGCGAATTAACACGATCGCTCGAACAGCTTAGGATCACTTTACTTGAACTATCACGAATGTTACCATTTTCAATGTGGTTGCAAAATGGCCTAAAATCTGTTTATTTTTATAAAATTTCACAGGTCTAACTAATTTTGAAGATGGAACCTACAAATATAGTTTTTTGAAAAATCATATTTTTTTCATATAATCTTAGAAAATAAATAGAAATATTAGTCAAACTCAAGCTTTTCTCTCTTTTTTCTTTAAAAAATAGTATATTACTCCTTTGCCCATTAAAAACAGCAACTGATGATTCCTATTTCAACTTTTGCTCATTTATATACAAACGGATATGATCAATACTAAGGTGATAGGCCATCAACTACCATTACACTAAACTTAATAATTGATCATCTAAAGTCTTCAACAATATTTTTAGACATGCTTAAAATAATTTAACATATTTTTTATATTTTATGTCATGTACTTGCTCCAATTATTGCTTTTTTTATGGATGAGAAAACTGTAAAGGTGCAAAAAGTATTGCAAACAAAATCTTTCCTTTAAGCCAAAGAATCACAAGATCCTCTCCCTTCTTCGACCCAAAGAATCCCATTCTTACTTCCTTTCAATGCAAAGAATCACAAAATCGAAATATTCTTAAAAATAATTTACCAAACTTTAATGACACAAATCTTCAAGAATTGTATAGAAAAATAACTTGTATTTAATTATTATTGTAATTAATTAATATAATGCATAGTACTATTAAACTAATAATACATTTAAAACACAATCTTGGAATGAATCACTCATTCTATTTCTTACTCCATCTCTTTAGCTACTCCATTACGCCATTCCTTTCCATCCAAACAACCAAACAGATCATCAAATTATACACCCACTTTCATCCAAGATTCTTTTCAACACGTGCGTTTATTGTCCTTTCCATTACAACCATAAAAGCACGATATACAACCCATAAAGAATCAATTCCAAAGAAAAAAAAAACGAAGCTTTTAATTAAATAATTTGGTTAAAAAGATCTGGATTTTATTATGATGTAGTCAATCAATATCAATGGCTACAAAAAGAATAAAAGAACCCCTCCAGAAAGGAAAGCAGCAGGAGATTTTTGTGACATTTTTCATCTCACAAAAACTGTTAACATCAAGATGTACATCGAATTAAAAAAAAAAAAAAAAAAAAAAAAAAAAAAAAAAAAAAAAAAAAAAAAACCGGTTCACGTGCCAATCACGCCCCAATTTGAGGCCTGCACAAAGAATATTATACTTTTTTCATCTAAAAATATGGGTCAATTTTTCTGCTGCTTCCACGTGTTGTTAAAACTTAGAAAAAAAAAACCCGATTTGGATCCAAGTTAGCGTAGTCAAATCTTTAGTCAACCCGACCCGTTACGTTTTCCAACCCGATAATAATTGATGGGCCTTTAACTTTAAGCCGCTTTGGACCGGTTTCTAAACTGCTTTTTCCCGGTTCGTGGTACACATTATCATCCGTTCCGGTTTTCTTGTACTTGATCGAAATGGAAGTGGGGTTCGCTTTTTGTACTTTTTTTAATCGTTTAAGCCCCTATTGATACAAATCTTAGATTAATAATTAAAAGCACTACACAAATATAAAAAAGTTGGAATTTTTTTATAAAAAAATGTTTACCTGATTTTCGAAATTTGAAGGAACGGAATCGTGTGTGTTTTTGTTCTCCGATTTTGACCGGCGTTTGACCCTAAATGTTTCGGAATCGGAATCGGAATCATCGGTTTCTTTATATGTATTTCTAACATCCACAGGGTAAGAATTACTATTATCTGCATGTACCTAGTATAACAAAATTCTTTCTTGTGTTAGAAACTTAGAATTTAGATCTCATCCATTGAAGGGTATTTTTGTCCGAAAATTAAGAGTCTGTTTGTTTTGGATTGAATAGAATGGATAAACAAAGATGAAAGTTTAATGATTAATCTTACATGGTTAATTAAAGAGATACTCTCCGGTTTACAAGTATCAAATATTTCATCTGTACGATTCCATTCCTTCCTTGATTCCATTCCGATCTCACAATACGGAACATACGAATCACCTTCTATTACCGGATACATTTTCGATAACAGAATCATATCATTAGCAATTACAGATTGCTCTTTAACCAAATTCACAACATCTTTCTCCTCCTCAAACCTCCTCGCCACACTTTCCAATTCCAAGATATCTCCTCTCACAGAAACCGTAAACCCATCTCCACATGGTAACCCGAGCATGTCCAACTCTGGAATGGAATCACACATTCCGATCATAATCATAAAACAAAATAAAAGTAACAGAAGTTATAGTTTAAGTTTAAGTTTTTAACATACCATGACGAAGGCATACAGGGTGTAGATAGCAATTACAGTTGATATACGCAATGTAACAATCACGTTTACAAATGCTGCAAAGAATAGTTCCATGGGAATGAATGGAATCACCATTGAAATGTTTTGATCTTGTTAGATTCCAACGGATTTGGTGTTGGAATCGGATTAAGTTCACGAATGCTGCTTTGATGTTTTGGTGAGATATCATGTCTGTCGAAGATTCCGATTCCGGTTTCGATTCCGATTCCGATTCCGGAGTTGAATGAAGAATCATGGACTCTTTGCATAAAAGTTCTTCATGTGGAAGGAGAGGTGTACGATTTAAAAGGGCATATCGATGACTAGCTATTGACCCCAATAAGAACCAATCACCTATTGCAAAATTCACAGCTTCACTGCAATTGAAACCTAAGGGAAAATTTTCATGGAATTATTGGAAAATGGAAAATGGAAAATGGAAAATGGGATGATGTTATTGTTATACCATGACTAAATCCTGCATGATATGCTCTAGGAAAAGTGACAACAAATTCCCCAGGCTTTTGAACAGCTTTGTAAACTGGAACACTGTGATCTGATAAAATAGTTGGAGGAAATAAGGTTGTCTTCCCCAAAAGAACATCAAAAGCACCATCTTCTCCATCAGTTGATAGAATATCATGAGTGTAAACATTTTCCCTAACCACCTTTTCAAAATCCAAAGCTGCATGTCCAGGAACACCATACCATGTTTTTGCAGCTCCACAGTGATGATAATTCATGCTGCAAAATATGTCAGGTATCATGAGATTATACTTTGAAATGTCTACCTAATTATAGTAATTAAAAACTTAAAATTGCTTTGTATTTGGATGACATTGCTATAATTAGTAAGATTTTTGAAGTGTCTACCTATATAAGTAATGGTCTTCTACATGCCAAGCAAACATGCTGAATAGCATCCCAATGTAAAGCATAGGCTCAGTAACACCCTGAAAATATAGATAAAATAGATAAGAAATGGATATAATCATATAAAGAATAAAAAATATTCAGAATCAAGAAATGGGAAATTATCAAAATACCGGAATTGTTGTTTCAAGGAGACGTAAAATGGATCTTGAAAGCCTTGAAACTTTCTGAAATAAGAAAACAAAATGGAGGTTAAAGTAAAGATTTGTTACAATGATTGTTGAAATAAATATTCTCAAGATAACAAGAAATAAAACAAACAAACAAGATGATTGTAATTTGTAACACTTCCACCATTTGTTATTTGAAAGTTTAATGACTAAAACGAAATGAAAACCTTTAAATTCCAATTGCTATTAGCAAGTTGATCAGTGGGAGAAGATGAAAAAGCACTTCCATCAACATCACAAGCATATTCAACACTTTCTGTCTTTCCACAAGCAATTTCATGCCAAAATTCTTTTTCCACATATGTAGCAGGAAGACATCCAGCACTATAATATCTACGTGCAAAAACCTTGTTCGCCATTTTCTCATAATCACGGAATGTATAATTTCTGATGAATAAAACTCATTGCTTAATCTCAATAAAGATTGCATACTTATTGATTATAATAATACATCAATAATATCATATGGGAAATTGGGAAATTGGGAACCCACCTTCCACTCATGAAGAATGTCACCTTATCTTCGGTATTCCACTCAGCAAGACGAAGAGGTTGAACTCTTGTGGTAAATTTAAAACCAGATTTCTCTCTCATTAGAACTATTCCAGCAGGAACTGAAGCACTTAAAGGTGAAACAATCTTGCATATACCTGAAAACAAGGGGAAAAGAATCAAAGATGATCAATTTAGAGATTATTATTTATAAAGATAATCCGTGAGTTCTAACTTTTAATGAAGTATTACCAAATCTTGAAGCTTCTGGAGAGATCTTTTGGAGATAAACAAGAGGGTCCTCGAACTCTTCTTTAGTTGGAAAGTATACTGGACATTCTGGGATTTTATCTGTCCAATCAAGATTATTTGGGTCAAACTTGTCAGTCTTCCACTTTGACATAGCATCAGTGGCAGGAGGTTGAAGATAGGAGTCCAGATTGCTGAATAATCTATCACCACAAGATGTAGAACCTCTTAATGAATCTCCTCCACTTCTGGTCATTAGGTTAGACACAAATGGAGCATCATTCATAGTACAAGCTTTCATCCGCTGAAGCCTCTTATGCTTCAGAAATTTCAATGTGTCCTCTCTGGAGAAACAAACCCTTCCTTCCACCTGATGAAACCACATGATAAGTGTGAATACTGAATTCATCAATACAATCAAGAGTTCATAAATGATGAACAAACTAACAACAGATATAGATAAGTAGAACAATTGATTGGAAAATTCAACCAATTTCCCTTGTTATAATCCATAGAGAAGCTATAATTGTTCACTTTCAGTTTGCTACTGCTTTGTCGGCTTTTAAATGACTCTAGGTATCTTATAATTTTTGGTATTTGTTGTTTTGAGAATTCGATTTCATCTCTTCATGAAGAGGATGTAGAAAAGAAATTAGTGGCTAAAAACCCACCTCCATACAGAATTGAACTACACAAAGTCAAACAACCGTCTTTGAACAGTAAAACCAACAAATTCCTAACAACATTTGAATAGATGAAAAGCAAGTGAACAGTTTTATTTTCAGGTATGAGAAGGTCAGGAAATTGTAAAGTAAATAGATGATTTACAAAACTCAAATAAAACCAAAAAATATATTTCATATTATGATTGAAATTACAGCGCAATTCCATTTAGCAGATAAAACAAAAGAAGAATTTCCATTGGAAGGTGAACGAAAACACAGATTCTCCAAAATTTGCCCCATCGAAAAAATATTTTGAAGAATAACAAAATGCTAGAGATCTCAGGGACGAATTATTCCCCAAAAGGAGATAAATTAACATAATTACAGATAAAAAATATTAATGACGTAATCATACCATCTCATTCCGAACTTTCTCGCCGGAACTCTCCGTCTTCTCTCACTTCACCAAACACAAACAAGCGAAATAGAAGAACAAAAGCGGTAACACAACGACAAAACTCAGCCTTAAATCACGATCTTCTCCGTTATCAGCCACATTCCCTCCAAACGACCTCCGACGTCGAGATCGGACAATTTCCACCTGTTAAAACTCTGCAATCTCAGAAAACCACTCAATGTCAACACCGGTATCTCCAATCCGAATGTGTGTGAACGTTCACGTCAGGAATTGTCCTTCGGCAAAGACTAGCGGAGTAAACACCGGGAAACAAGCGGTTTACCGGCGACAGAGAGCAGTTTTCCGGCTGCCTGGAGAGAGAGAGAGAGAGAGAGAGAGAAAGAAAGAGGAACAGTAGGTGAAATCCAGAAAGAGTATGGCTTTAGAAAACCGAAAAAGAAGAGAGAGAGGATAATTTATAACTTTATATATAATTTTTTAATTTTTTGCCATAATTGTAACCACTTTATTTTTTTAATAAGTTTATTATTTTAAAATAGAAAAAACAGAAAAAATAGTTGTGAATAATGAATGAAGTGGCGGTTGGTTAGGCTTGTTCAACCAAACGCACCCTTTGTTGCCGCCTCGAAACGCGTCGTTTTAATGCTCACTTGTTTTTCCGATACTGTTTTTCCGAAATTACCCTCAAACCATGGGTTCTTTATCTTTAGTTATTTTTGGGCTAACAGGATATTAAAGAGTAGGTTAATCACAAATTCACTAAAATTTGTGGATGATTAGATTTATGGCCATATTTTTGGCAATCAATAAACAAATTATTAGGTTAGAAGAAATAGTGGCTTTTTTGTCACACTAAATTTCCTATCATTTAGGCAACGCATCATATTTTTTATATTTTTTCAAAATCTTGTCCTTTATGAGAGTTATTATCATTTTACATATGGAGTATTTTAAAATTATTAGAAAAAAATAGGAATAAATCTGAAATTTGTACTTTCTCTCTCATACGCCTAGAATTGTTGAGAGCTTGTCGAGCTCATCTTGTTGAGGATAAGAAGCAGTGTTTCCTTAAAACTGTCGAGTACATGTCATCTTAACGATGGGTACGATCGAGCCACTCTTTCTAGCTTTATTAAAATATTTTTGTTATTGAACATATATAGAGGCAAAATAATAAAAGAACAAAAGAAAAATATGAATATATAATTAGTTTTTCAATTTTACAAAAAATTCTAATGGATAGTTAATTATTTAAATTTAAAAAACTACCATGAATTAAGTACTTGAAATTTTTAAAATTTTGAAGTTTCAAAATACAAAATTTAAAACTTTGATATGGATTTAAATGTGTGTAGTATTATTTTAAAATTCTCATATAAATATTAAAAATTCGTAATGTTATTTTAAAATTTAATATGAATATTAGACTTATACAATATTATTTTAAGATTCTAATAAAATATTAAACTTGTAATTATTTATATATTTCATTACAAACAAATAATAGAAATTCATATTAAAATGTTGATTCAAAAGTTAAGTTATTTACACAAAAATAAACTATATCAATTCATTGAAAAATATTAATATGATAAGGAACATAATATTCATGTGTGAATATTAACCACGACCATTAGACAATATATTCTTTTTTGCCGTAAAACCCTCCAACGTATCGGCACAGATGAATATAATGTTCATATGTGAATAAATATATCCATATATGAATATATAAAGTATATTCATATATGAATAAATATATGTATATTCTCAAGTGATGATATATATATATATAGATATATATATATATATATATATATATATATATATATATATATTTCAAGTGATTTGTTCTCGTGTTTTCGATTTAACAGTTGTTTTTATTTGAACATTCTCATATATCTATATATATATATATATATATATATATATATATATATATATATATATATATATAAGTCCTTAAATTTTGGAAAAAAATTTAATAAAGTTTTAAATTTATTTTTTTGAAAAGAAAGTCTTGATTATATAACTTTTTGAATATGATATCCTAAGAAACCGAGTAATTTATTCACTTTATCCTTTTGTGACTTGTTTAGCAGGTCATGAGACCAAATCGTTATTTTTTTCAAAATAATAGAACTTTTCTATAGATTTTGTCAAAATTTAAATATAATATATAAACGTATTTTTACGTATTTATATCTATTTTTTGTATTTATGTATTTCTTTTAAGTTTTTATATGTATATGTTTATGTATTTTTTATTTTAAATGTATAGACATATTGTTTTACGTATTTTTAAGTATTTTACATATTTTTTATGTAAAGTTTTGTGTGTTATTTATTTATGTATTACATATTTATATGTATATTTATATATTTATGTATTTCTTAAATTTTTTTATATAGATGCTTATGTATTTTTATGTATTTTAAATGTATAAACATATTTTTTACATATTTATATGTATATTTAAATATTTTACATATTTTTTAATGTATTTTTATGTGTTATTTTTTATGTATCATGTAGTTATATATTTCTTAAGTTGTTTATATATTTTGAATGTATAAATGTATTTTTTATGTATTGATGTATGTTTAAGTATTTTACATATTTTTTATGTATTTTTATGTGTTTTTTATGTATTATATATTTTTACGTAATACATATATATATATATATATATATATATATTATATATATATATATATATATATATATTATCGTGGCGAAAAAAAACAAATTTCGTAAAATAATTGAAGTTATATACCAACTTAATTACCCATTCGTCTTAGACGATGCTAGGAGTGAAGAAAATTGATAATTGACTTGGAAAACAACTTCAACCTTAGGCTATTAGGTATATATACCACATCGTCATGCCAAAAATACTAGACGATGCTAGGAGTGAAGAAAATTGATAATTGACTTGGAAAACAACTTCAACCTTAGGCTATTAGGTATATATACCACATATTCATGCCAAAAATATTGTCACATCAATATTACTTCCTTAAGTATATATACCACATCACCATGTCAAAAGTATTGCCACATCAATATTACTTTATGGTCGCTTTACTTAAAATATAGTTAACACTCCACATCGTTGTATCATTTGTTTTTCAATTATTTTTTACATGTAGACACTAACGAGTTTCATTAGGGTTGGGTCGTCATTAGTTGTTTTGGAAGCAAGTCAGCGGGACCCCAGCCAGGGACTTTGCCCCTTGGACCCCGCTAGGGGCGCTGCCCCTAGAACCCGCCAAAGGGGTGCCGCCCCTTTGGAAACCCCGGACCCAGGGGCGCTGCCCCCGGACCCCTGACTTGTCGTCGAACCGGCTTCTAATTCGATCTTATACATGCGTGCACTCCGCACCAACCCATACATATATTGTAATTCTGCTAAGCATTTGTATGGTAAACTGATAGAATTTTATCATTCAACTGACATATGCGATGAACGTCATTGGAAATTGCTTCCGTTTTTTTCGTTTAAAAGAGAACAAATAAATGAAACAACATATGAATGTGAAAGTAATATAGCAGCTGAATTTCGATTAAGGTATTTCAATTGAGGAGGGAGAAGGAGGTTCAAGTCGTGCTCTTGTCAAAACAACTTCATCGATTGATCCAAAAGACAAAGGCAAAGTCATTATTATTGAATAATCGGATGAGGAAAAAAAGAAGCAACAAGCAGCTGAATTGGAACGACAAAGGAAAAACAATATCATTCTTCGTCAAAGGGAGAATGATCCACCATGCCTAAACAAAGGTGAACCCAACAAGCACTGGTGTTATGAAACGATTGAAAAATCGCTGTTTTGGGGAAGAATGACGAATTTCTTAAAAGGCCGAAGAAGAGCTTTGAAACTGAAAATTCAGACTTCAATTAACTCGATTTTCCAATCAATTACATGTTGTACACATCTCCACAGTTCAAAGTAGCAGATAAATTCAAAGATAAAAACAAATACAGATACCTGAAGATTCATTTTCATGCTATCTTGGTGAAAAACGAAGATGATGTATGGCCGTTGGTGAAAATAGTGAAGGTGATGAAAATTGAAAGGGATACCTTGTTTGAAGGTCTGATTCAAAACTTTCGATATTCAGTTGTGAGAGCTAATCATGTGGAGTTCGAGTTCATAATTGCTGACTTTCCATTGATGAACCTGATGTTGGATTAGGTGTCTAAGCCCATTACTAAAATTGGTATATGCTTAAATTGATAGTAGCATAGTCCTTTTGCGTTGCCCTCAAACCTAGCAATTGGACATGATGATTTTTTTTAAAGAGAGATTAATTTATTATGTGAATAATAAATTAAATAAATGGTTTATTAATGTGTTATGAAAATAATATATTAATTAGAGATCATATTATTTCATTAATAATTAATCAGAAATTAATTGGAATTAATTTTGAGATTAATTAGATTAATTAGAAGTACAGGGAGTGTTTGGTTATTTATTTATAGTTGAGAAAGGAAGGCTCTAGAACCTCATGGAGTGAGGTGGACGAAAATCGTTAGGGCAAGCCTAAGAGTTTTCGTCCAAGGCCCTTGTCTAAAGGGTATTAGGCTGCTTGGTCACCAAGCATAGGGATCCAGGGTATATCCCTTAAACCCTAGATTTGGCACCAAGTTTCCTCAACTATATAAGGAACCCTTGGGTCCTATATTTCGCCGGTCCTTCTCTTCCCAAGGCTTGGACGAAATCTTGTCTCCCTTCTCCTCCCTCTTACATTATCCTTTTGCTAGCTTGGGTGTGATTCCTTTAGAGCCACGACACTTGTGGTGCTTACTTCCAAGAGATCAACAAAAAGGAATTCTAATTGTTTGCTATAACAACTAAAAGGTATGTAACCCTAAATCCCTCTCATCTAAATTTTGAAAATTCCCTAGGGTTTCTAAGTTTCTTATTAATGTTCTTAGTTATAGGTTCAATAGAGAAAACATAGATCCTATTTAGGTTGCATGCAAACTTAAGGGTTTTAATTTTGTTTGTTTACCTTAATCTCATCACTAGTATCAGAGAGTTTGGTTTGATTTCTGTTGAATTTTCTATAATTGAAGAATAGATCAATTGGGTTTATTGAAATTAAACCCTAAAAGGCCATAATTTCAACAAGGGCTAGGGTTTTGGAAATCCTAACCTCCACCCCTTGGATTTCGAAATTTAGGGCTAGGGTTTTCAAACCCTAGCCTTCCTCCCTAAGTAATTTTGAAAATAGTAGGTGTCACACCCCGAAACCGATGGCAGAAACGTTACGGGGCGGAGGACGTCATGTGTAGTATCACAACAGTTGTATCATAGTAAGCGAAGTAAACACAACCATTACATTATAATATGAGTATTTACATTGTTCAAAACATGGTTTATACATATCAGTAAATATAGCAAAAGTAAAAGACG